ATGGTAATATGTATAAGGGTGTCTAGGTATTTCAACAACTTTTTACACAAATACAGACTTTTTTTTATCCATATGAAATGTTGATGTTTATATAGTGCAAAGTCTGTGATACAGATTCATTACATTGTTGTAATTAAAATACTCGAGAGAAAATTTTATATTATTATCTACTTTTTTTTTCTTTTTAGCTTCCCCATGGGTAGATAAAAGTCGAACTCCTAACAAAATAGATCTGTATGATGTACGCAGAAGACCATGGTAAGCTTTCTTTTTAAAGGTTTTGTATATTTATATACATCACTTACTTTCTAGCTATTACTTTAAAAATCTTTTTTTCTGTTGGTTTTTAATGGTATGTACTTTTAGGTATTGTTTTGTTGAATTTTTAAACTAGTTATTATTTCTAAATAAGCAATTTTCAAATTATACTCCTTGCTATGAAAAATCCACTTCAATTGTTGCACTTTTGGATTACATTGTTTTCATAGGAGAGTAACTATCAAATAGGTGTAAGACAGTTAAAAACTCTGATTTTTTACCAAAATCAATTATAATCTTGAGTATTAGACTGAAACATTCTTTCATACTTTTGCAAATATTTAAAAATATGTCTCAGTGGTTTAGACCAGCAATAAAATCACTAGATGTGTAAAAGATGGAAGAGTGGTGGGATTACTTCTCATGATTTTTTTATGTAAGCCTCTCAAGACATAAAGTATATTGATACTTGGATATAGTTGGATATATTTTTTCAAAGGACTAAGTATTTCTGCCTAGGCTGGGCTGAGTAATAATTCATCTGTCATCAAGATCTTTAGCTCTGAAATAGCATTCCTGTTCTTCAGTTATGTGAAAACAGTGAATTTTGATTAGTATATCCTATGTCCAGACTACCCTAATGTGCTTTACACTTAGATTTACTTAGGAGACACAGCAAGAGAAGAAATAACAACACACGGGTTTTGTACTAGATGGGAAGATTTTATTGGTTCAGCTAGTTTGAGTTCAGAGATCACAGAGTGTCTTCCATCACACACAAAGAAATGTTTAAGCAAATTTGTGTAATTCATACCATTTATTTATTCCAGGTATATCCAAGGAGCTGCATCTCCCAAAGACATGCTTATTTTAGTGGATGCGTAAGTGTTTAATGTCTGAATATTGACATTGGCAGGATAAAAGTACTTTGGTACATTGAACAAAGCTCTGTATGCTGAAAAATAGAGAGGGAATTAAGAGGTCCTTGTATGCAAGGTTCAAAAATCTTGGTATGAGCAAAACAAATGCTAGAATAATAGAATAGAATAATAGAAAATAGTTCAAAAAAGCCCAAACCAAACTGGAAAGTTATTTAAAATGGAGGCAAGGATATGGAGTTTTTTTAATCTCTTCAATGTGTTTCTGTTTTCAACTTACTAATTACTGCAGCAATGAAGTGTATATTTCTCATGTGCACGCCAAGATTTGTTTTAAAGCACAAACCTAAAAACAAATTTCTAGAAGCATTACAATAGAAATGATAATAATTTAATGACCCTGAAAGATAAGAATGTATGTGGACTTTCTTAGTTTTCCAATACAGATTTAAAAATTGAAATGTTTGATTACTATAAAATATTGCTAGAAAGCAAACAAAAAATTGAATAAAAGCTTGTTTTCTGCCTCGGCAAGGCTTCCATGGTGTAGGGCAATGTTGAGGGACTGAAGGGAGCATTGAACCTGATGTGTCAGATTGCTTTATGCTGAAAAGCTTCTCAGGCACAGAATTTGCATTTAATGCTTTTACACATGGTGAAGTGCTTTCATATCAGCAGTGAGTTTTATCAACATTTGTTATTTCTTCACTTCAGCTTAGGTTTTGCCTTGAATCAAAGAAGCTGTCATTTGTGTCTCTGGAAATCCAGAGTTGTAAATCTGTGTGTAGGAGTATAAAATGTTTAGATAATGCATTGGTTGAAGGTGGTAAACTCAGATTTCTTGAAAAGGAAAAGAGTAAGGGATGCAGCATTATGACTTCATCTAAGGCACAGGACTGGAGTTTGTATGCCAGTTTTGGACTTACTTTAATAATTATAAATAGTTTAATAGCACTAATAATGAGTTGGAGAATTCAGGAATTAAATTGAAAATTTTGGTCTGTAAGTTGGTGAGAGTTCTGGTGGGTGTTCTGTATTTTCTTTTTATGCTTTACATAATATTTGCTGAATTCAACTTTTCTATTGTGGATTTTTTTTTAGGAGTGGGAGTGTCAGTGGATTGACATTGAAGTTGATCCGCACGTCGGTCATTGAGATGTTGGAGACCTTGTCTGATGATGACTTTGTGAATGTAGTTTCAGTGAGTATCTGTTCTTTCCACAAAATTTGCATTGTCAACAAAGCCAAAAGCAAAGTATTTTTAATACCAGATATGAGCTACTTAAATGATAAACTTCAAAGAGACTTAAAATATATTGTATTTGTTTGCTTGTAAAATAAAAGGAATGTCCTAGATGTGATGTTACATAGATATTTGAATTAAGGGCAAAAGTAATTTAAATAAATTCCTGCAGAGCCAAATTCTCCTTTCCAATAAAATTCTATAGTTAATATAAAACTTCTCCATTAGATTGGTATATGCAAATTCTCTTGAAATAATTGCTGCTTCCCAGATTTTCTACACAGAGGATATTTGGATTGCTCATGTTGCTTGATGCATAGTGACAGTAGATGTGGAACCATATATCTGACCTGGCCAAGAAATGTTTCTGAGAAGTTCTGTAGTTCTTCGCCACTTGATGAGTGGCAAAACAATTTTTCTCATAATAAATAATAAAATACAAGGAAGACTCTATGAAGAAGATACAGGAAATTTTCCATTTTCAGGTGAATACCTTGGATGTCATGTTCTAGACTTGGGAAACTTTTTTTTTTTTTTTTTTAATTATTAAGCTGTTCAGCTGTAGAATTTTGATTCTAAGGATTTAGGATGAGAACACTGACATATTCTTAATAACAAGAAACAGCCTCAATGATGAGTAACTGGAATGATTTTGGATATAATTTTCAATTTGTAGAGTTATGTTGTAGCCAGCCTGAGGGAGAAGGACCTGAAATATAACTAAAAGAAATATTTTTAAAACCACTTATTGCTTCATGGTTTGCTGACAGTCCAGCTAGAACTTTCTGCAAGGAGCAGACAAGCAGTTATTCTCAATGGTGTTTCCTTCGTTAAAGTTTTTAATAGTGGATAAGAACATGTTCCTTGGTCTAAATTGCAGTGAACAAAAAAAAAATACTAAAAAAACCCCAAGAATCCTAATGTTTTTTAGCATTGTTATTAAAGGAAATAAGCTTCTCTGTAATGGTACTGGGGAGTTGAAATCTTCTTAGTTTCACCAATTTAAAAAAAACCAAAAAACTTGTAATCCTAAACCGATGGAAATTGATTACTGTGTTCAGTGAAGCTGTGCCAGCTTTCACTGCTGGAAAACCTGGACCCCTACTACTTCTTGATTTACACATATTTCCAAACTCTTTTGTTACATTTGCTCCAAGATGACCAGAATTAGTGTATCTTAATGCTAAGCCTTCCTTAGGCTGTATTTTATTATCTAAGGTTCACCGTTGTTCTAATGAGGCCTCAAGGTTGGGATTTGTGTCAAAAAAGAACCAGAAATCCTCAATTATTTTCTATATTATATTACCCCAAGGATTTGTTACTTATAATATATAAGGGCCATTTTTCCCCTTTGAATGAACTTTAGAGGCTCACATCAGAAGTTTGATTGCAGAACCAAAGAGGATATTTTGGTCATGTTGTTTTCATCATCAATCACAGAAATGTGCATAATAGAACATGACATCTCTAAGTCTTTCATAAAGGTCTATTTGGTGTTGTTCCCTTACCATTGAAAAGTCTTTATTAAAACTTTCCAGTATTATAATTATTTTTATGATCTAGGTTTTTCATGTATTTATATGATTTATGAATAGAATTGTGGTGGAGGAATTATAGCATAGATATATATTATTTCTCTAATAGTCAGGAAATCATGTGCTATGGATAGGAAACAAATGTCTGTGCTACAATAAGGCATTCTATAAGTGAGAAAAGTGAACACAGAAGTTTGATCTTTGTTGGAAGATTTTTTTTAAAAAAAGATTTGTTTTGTTTTTTTAAGATTTGGCAGAATCAATCAAACAGACTAGATATTCTCTCAAGACTTTTCCAACACAAAGAATTCTATTATTGTATGATCTTGATTCACAAAATATTCCATAATGGAAGAGGTATACCGAAAGTCCAACTCCAGTGCTTTCTTAGGGACCTCAACATGCAAAATATCAACTTAAACATTTTGGTTTAGGTGAAATAAATGCATATTTTTTCATTTTTTTTAAATTTATTCACTATGTTGCATAATACGTTTGCTTAAAAACATTTTCTTCTTAAAAATCCCAGTATTAGACATGATAGGCTAATCAAAAAGTCTGAAAAGCTAGGTGAAAATGTTTAGTTAATACAGCATTAGCATAGATGGATATATGAACACTAACACTAACTGGAAATTATCTACAATTTTTCTTTCCCTCATGGATCTTTTGGCCTAAAATGTGACAGTTGTTTTGTGGCTTGTTAGTTTTGATAACCATGGAGTCTTTGGTGTGGTTTTGAGTTAACTAGAGAGCTGTTTCACTGCTAACCTCTGCCAAGATGTTAGCCACAAAGCCCATAGGTACAATGATTCATGCCCACAACTGAAAGACATGGATTTAAGCTCATGTCAATCACTTCTTAAAAGTGACAGGAGAATGTAACGAACTGTGCCTTTTATGTGAGGAAATCCTAGAGAAAAAAGCTTAAAAGTAGATAGCCTAAAAACATTAGTTCTACTGAATGTACATAGTGCCTGCATTTTTTTCCAGGGAAAGAAAGGTTGAATGAACTATTAAGTGGTAAAAAGATAGCCAGGGGTTAATATATCATGGTTTCCTTTGGGATTTGCATGTTCCTTATCTGAAGTGCTGTGCTTTGTTGCAGAGAGAAAACCTGCTGTTTGAAAGGGCTTAAATGTATGAGTAATACAGCTGTTTTCCCACTAATCCGGTTATAGGCTTTGATAGCAGCAAGCAGTAGATGATAGGGGCAGCAATTCCATCCCAGCACGTCGTGATTTAGTGACTTGGTTTCAGATGTTGACACAGAGAGTGTAATTTGTTTGTGATTGTGGGTAGTGTGCAGGAGAAATGTGTTTCAAATCTGCAGAGGTGCGGAAAAGCCACACAAAGGAGAAACCTCCCTTACATCAACAGATGTGTTAAAGGTCAGGAGCTGTTGTACTTTTTAAATTCACTTAGCCTTTGTAAAAATCCAAGCTAGTATTTACTGCTTAGGAATTGGAAATTAAATGTCATGAGCACACAAGATAGAACAGAATCATATTCTGGGAAATTGAAAGCTCATCTCCTGCTCTTGTGCAGTTCTCCATATTGAGTAAACTCAGAGGGAAGGTGAATTCTATATGAATTGATTCCAAAGAAAAAAGTGTGCACCCAGCCTATGAAATTATTGTTGGGGATAAAATACCTCTGTTCCCACTGATTTTTAAAAGCAGTTTTTCATGTAATTCTACAGTTCAGTGGTTGCAAATCTATTTACTTTGTTTCTCATACTCCTAACTTGGTAAAATCTTTACACCTTCCTAATCAAAATATTTTAATATGCTAACACAGGGAAAAGAAAATTTTGTAAAAGTCTTTACAATATATCAAAGGGCTCCTTTCCCTTTCTGCTACATGATCCATCCTGTATTCTGCACTTCATATTGCACTTATATTATCTTAAATACAGGGAAATGTTCCTTCCTTCTGGGATCTACTTTCTTAAGTGTATATTGAAAAATTAATTAATATGCCATGGGTGAAATCTTTGCCTGAAGTCCTAGTGGAGGGAGGAGGATGCTAGATTCTACAGCCAGGTAGCATGTCATACCATCCTTGCTAGAAATGTTAGCTTTATATGAGTGTACTTCGGTTGGCAAAAACGTGAAGAATTTTATTTAAAAATAGCTTAAACTTTGTTTCCTTTATCATTTCAATGTAATGTTTTTAGTGGACCTGAAATTAAATTGCATACTCAAATGGTAGGAAAGGGGTTTTTTTATTATGCTTTTGAATTTTGACCCAGAAAAGTTCAATGGTGCTTAGTTTTTCCAAACAACATTGGTACTTCAAGGGAGAAATTAAACATGATCATGGTATTAGTGGCACTGAAGTATTTCTGTTAGTGGATCTAGAGGAAATGAGAAGGGCTCCTGTATGAAGGGGTTTGCCAATGTACTTTGCTTCTTACTTTCCCATTTTCCTTATACTAAGAACAATACTAAGGAGAAAACATGAAGATGCCTGTCATCTTTTCCATTATTTGAGAAATAAAAAATAGAGAATCAGGTTCCCTCTACAATAAGTATGTCTGCATAAGAACTTCTCTTAGTGACTGAATCCTGAAGCATTTCAGGTAATGAATCACAGTAGCTGCAATTAAGTGTACAGGCTCCTCAGCATCATACCTGTGTGAGGCAGTAAACAAATACATGTAATTTGTTTCGTTTGGCAGGGGATGTGGTTTGGTTTTTTTCCCTAGTCACTGAAAAGTGATAGAAGAGCAAGTTTAGGTCTGAGTGTTGAGCTTCCTGATTCTCTTAAGAGCAATCCATCTAACTGACCTTGCAGTTTCTCTTAAATTGAATGGTTCATTTTCTAGAAAAGGGGAACAATGATAGCTGCAGATAAACACATCTTGGTAGCAATGTTCCTTAATGGAAAATCATTATCATTCCTTAATGGTAGGTCATTATCTTTCATCTTCCATATCCAAAGAGCAAGTGAATTAAATGTGTTTTGTTCATACAGGTATATTTAATAAGCACTGTAGGTGCAGGGTTAAAAAAAATCTCAGAGAAGTTATGATCAAAATCTAGTATTAAATTTCAGGTAGAACAAGGATATGTATCTATGGAAATATATGTAGGGGAAATATATTTGGAGGGCATGTTTAGCAAATGTAAGAAGATGAATATTCTTCAAATAACAATGGAGAAAATTTGGAAATTACGGAAACCAAGGTATTATTAAGAAGTTGGAAAGAAATTTCATTTTAGCAGCAGGAGTTAGAGTAGTATAAACAGCATAATGGAATGCTTATCTGCTTGTAGAATTGTTTCTTTTTACCTTCTCTCCAAAAGGAAAGCCAAGAAAGGAGTCAGTGAAGATCTGTTAAAAGTCTTTCAGGTGGGGCTAGAGTTGAGAGGGTAGGGAGGATATTATATTAGCTGACTTTTTTGAAATGAGATTGAG